TTCTTTCTCAAGCTATTTACTTTTAAGTTTTTCTAAAATATTTTTTGTATTATGCGCTGCGGAATTATTTTATTTATTTATTTATTTTTTTTTTCTGCACTGGTTGTGAGAGATCGCGTTCTCGGACAAATTGTGATCCAAATGAATTGCACACTTTACGCTGAAATAGATCAAATATAACATATACATATGTATATGTATGTATTTCTGAAATTGTGGGCGTGGCAGTGTTTTAACATAACATACAAGTAGTTAGATAATTTTTGTTTTCATATTTATTAGCTTGCAATCAGTTTGTGTATTTAATTTTTGAAACGATTAAAAATTTTCTAAAGGTTCTTTATATATATATTTTTTTTAAATAAACAACTGCCACATTTGTTAGCTAGATAATTCGTTGATTTTGTAATATTACTATATATAATATATTATATTTACTATTCAGTTTATTATACATAGAATTTGAGCTTTCAAAGGAGCAGCGGCAGTAGCTCAGAGGCTGCGAAAGATTTTACAGGTGGAAAACATTTTAAAGAAAACATTTAAAAGCTTTCAGATTTATAGAAAATGTTTGAAGTAGAAAATCCTAAATTCCAAAAAAAAAATAATTAATTAAAAAAATTAATTTAAAAAAATTAGTCAATTAAGCATTGATTGCATTTCGTTTTTAAATATTGAAACAAGAAAACTATTAATAGCATTAAAAACAATAAACATGATTTTATTAATTGAGTTAAGTTGAGTTAAGTTAAGTCGAAAAAATTGGCAAATTGAAGATTGTAATAATATTTGAAATAATGTATTACAAAAAATGTGAATATTTGAAAATCTTCTTAGCAATTAAATTACATTATTTCCTGGCGTTATTTAAAGTTTTTAAATATTTTTAATTTTTTTTAATTGTTCTTTGTTGATTTGTTATTTAAAGCATTAAAAAGAAATGAATTTGCAGCTGCCTTTTAATTACGTTCTTTTTTTTTTTTTTTTTTTTTTTTTTTTTTTTTCTTTCTTTGCTCATTTGATTTTTTAATGATTTTCTTTTAATACACTTGGTGTACAAAATGGCAGTTTATATATATGCATTCATATATAGTATATACATATATATACTTGTTAAAGATGCTTTATCAAGTGTCTTCGTTCGAGTATATAAGCCGCATGCTAATTAGTGCAAAATATGTCAAATATTTGGATCCGCAAGCCAGATTTCTTTTTATCATGTGCCCAAATTAAAATCATTGTTTTTAGTTAGCAAATTTAAATCGAAAAACCAATATGCTCATTTCACTCTCGTGAATGAGTATAAAACAATTGTTTTTCAATAACTGTAGCTGTAGTTGAAAGTTCAATTACAAACGCTAAAGGGTCAACATTTACTTGGCAGTTATATATATATTCTTTTTAATAGCATTTTTGTTACCCTATATAAACTACTAATATTTATCGGCGGTTTTGGGAACACATTTTGCCCAGGTCAAAAATTATTTGAAAAAAATATAGTTTTTTTTTTATTTAAATTTTGTGCGTATTAATACAAAAATATATATAAAAATAAAAAAAATAAATAAATAAAATAAAAACAATATACTCGATTCCCTTTCGTGAATGAGTATAAAAAGCCTGTGGGATTTGGATTTAGCTGCAGGTGAGAGAAAACAGAAATCAAAAATATATTGAGTGAATCTCACAACGCGTGTTTTGGTTTTGCGGTTTTTTTTAATTTTTTTTTTTTTAATTTTTTTATTTATTTATTTATTTATTTTTTTTTTTTGCAGCATTTTACTTCACTACTTAACTAATTGCGTTAGTTGTTTTTATATTTGTTCGTTTTCTAGTATTTTAATTTTTTTTTTATTCTGCATTTGTTTAATTTATAAGAAAACATGCACTAGTAAATTGTTTGTTAGCAGAACTAGTTGGTAAACAATTAGTTAAATTTTAATTTAGTCAACAGAAAGTAATTGCTAATAATTTCTTTAACTGAAATTGGCTTAATGGTTTGCCAGGGATTTAACAAACATCGAACATTTTTGAAAAATTTTGATGAAGTTGTAAAAGAAAATTGTAAAATTTGTAAACTGAATTTACTGAATTTGAAAACGTATTACAAGATTTCGCATTAGTTTTTGTTAAATTCATTTAATAAAAGTAATTAGTTGTTTATAATATA